GTCAGAATCACTCATTTCTAAGCGGCTCCTCTTATCTCTCTATTAATTGGACTTGTCAGTCTGAGCCCGCCTCTCAACGCCTACGGTCCGTCGCCAGCGCATACATTTGTTGTTGTTGATAGCAAGCTGCGGTGTTCGCAAAGCCCGTAGCCCTTGCATACATTTATAACGTTAATAAACTGAAATATTGAATTTATCTCGCCTTGTGATTTGTTTTTAAAATAGCTGACAAAAAGGCTTGTTAGCTCAACATTTGGAGGCCCCGGCGAGATTCGTAAATTCAAGTCTGTGGAAATTCGTTTGTGCAAAAGAAACAGTGCACAAAGAAGACAAAAAACAACTGTTACATTAGGCTGGTTCCGCTTTAAGCTGGTCCTAATAAATTTTCTGCCTCGCCAACTGGTGACTGTACTTTCTTGCCGTTACAAAAACAAAGACTTCTGACAATTGTAACTGTAAACTCCCGAGTTGTGCAGTGCGTTTCGGTTTGCTTTATACAAATACATACGCACAGATGAGTTCAGACGAAGGCAGCACAGTGGCAGACCATAATATTATGACGGCTGAAACTAAAGTGCGGTTCTTGAAGTGCAAAGCCGAATCGGTGTACAATAGCTTAAAGCGCATGGATATTTCGCTAGCTAAAGACGCGATTTGCCTGTTTGGGTCCGCGGAGTTGACAGTTCGGCTAGAACTTCTTGAGCATACTCAAGCCTCATTCAGGCTTGCCCACAATGCGCTGGAGGAGCTAGACTATTCGGAAATCGGCAGTGAGCTTAGCGACAATTTTGAAATGCTCATGGTATCGGTCAAGTCACGGCTAATACGGCAACTTGACAACTGTCAGCTTCGAATGCCAACATCTTCCACTATGCACCTTGATCCCAACCTGGATCAGTCAACTGTCATTGTTGATCGAGGGCATAGGACTCGCCTGCCCGAAGTAAAACTGCCTACATTCTCTAGTGGATACACCGAATACTCTGATTTCCTCTCCATGTTTATCTCGGTGATAGATAAGGACCCCTACTTGGCTGACATAGAAAAGCTTCAACATTTGCGGTCATGCTTAGCTGGAGCTGCGCTGGAGTCGGTTCGATCATTAGAAATATCTGGTGCCAATTATCGTGTGGCACTAGAAATCCTAAATAAACGTTTTAATAATAAACGTCTTGTTTTCCAGGCACACATCAATGAAATTCTTGGGCTCAAGAGGCTCGAGTCTGCGTCTGCTGTGGCATTGCGGGATTTTTCGGACAAAATTATTGGGCATATGCGAGCGCTTCAGGCCTTGGGAGATTTAAAACAAATCTCAGGCTGCATGGTTGTATACATGATAGTGCAAAAATTGGATGCAGCAACCCAAGCCAACTGGGAGGAAAGTTTGTCAACGGATATGATTCCAAGCGAGGAGGATTTGCTCTCGTACCTTGAAGGGCGATGCCAGAAACTGGAGAGCGTTCAGCATGCCTTGGCTTCCAACATGGCCCATGACCATTCAGCTCCAAGGCCTGCCAGAAGGACGTTACTTGGTGCCCAGGTCAGCCAGAGTAGCTGCGTTTTTTGTGATACTCCTGGTCATGGAATATACTCCTGTAGCTCCTTCGCCGGTCTGTCTCCTAGTCTACGGCAAAGGGAAATAAAAAGACTTTCCTTGTGCTTCAATTGCCTAAAGAAGGGGCACCACACTCGAACGTGCAACTCCGGCCATTGCCGCACATGCGGTGGAAAACACCACACGCTGCTCCATCTACGCCCTGATGATTCACCACCCTCGCAGCCATCTGCCTCGCTTGCGGCCCAAGGATTTCATTCTGATGTTGTGCTCTTGGCCACCGCTATAGTTCTTGTAAAGAACAGAGCTGGTTCCCCGGTACCTTGCCGAGTCCTACTGGATTCTGGATCTCAACTACACCTAATTACATCTCGCTTCGCCCAGGAGTTGCAGTTAAGGAAATCTCGGTCAGCAGCAACGGTAACTGGTCTTGGTGATACAGCTGTTTCTTCAGAAGGATCTACAGTCAGCATCTCCCTCCAGTCGCGTTCTTCTGAATACTCTGTGGCTCTAACGGCACTGGTCGTGCCAACGATTACAGACAGTCAGCCTAGTTACATCATTGATATCGCTGATTGGAATATGCCATCTAACATACAGTTGGCTGACCCTGCATTCAACTGTCCCCAGCGCGTTGACCTGCTCCTTGGTGCCGGCCTATTTTATGACCTGTTATGCGTGGGCCAAATTAAGCTGGTTCATGGATTGCCTCTACTGCAGAAGACTCGCCTTGGCTGGATCGTGACTGGTGGTGGAGATAGACTTCGCGGCAATACATCTCTTTTAGCATCTCAAGGCTTGGAAAATGGAGCTACACTACATAATGTCCGCTTGGAGGATCTGGTTAGGCGATTTTGGGAAGTCGAAAATTTGGACAGTGGAGTCATAATGGCCAGCAAGGAAGAGCTGGAGTGTGAGGATCATTTTATCAAAAACTTCTATCGTCTTCCCTCTGGCGCTTACTCTGTTCGCCTGCCGTTGAAGCACCATGCTAAAGCCCTTGGCGATTCCTACACACAGGCACACCGAAGATTTCTTAATCTTGAACGCAAACTGCAAAGGAATCCCCATTTAAAGCGTCAATATGTGGCCTTTATTAAGGAATACTTGGAGCTAAACCACATGTCCAGAGTCAGCCCCGAGGCTGTGGGTCTTTGCAAGTATTTCCTGCCGCACCATTGTGTTCTAAAGGAGGATAGCACAACAACCAAGCTTCGCGTTGTTTTCGATGGATCGGCGTTAGCCTCATCCGGGTCGTCTCTTAATGATGTCCTTATGGCTGGGCCCGTTATACAGCCAAGGCTGTTTAACATTTTGATAAAATTTCGTACTTATCAGGTGGCCCTGACTGGAGACATTTGCAAGATGTATCGGTGCGTAAGGGTGAGTGAACCCGATAACTACTTGCAATGCATTTTATGGCGAGACGAACCGGACAAAGAGCTCGAAGTTTACAAACTGGATACAGTGACCTACGGAACCAAGCCTGCCTCATTCCTTTCTGTTCGTGCAATGCACCAGCTGGCCATTGATGAGAGGGATTCCTTCCCTGCTGGCTCAGTTGCTCTGCAACAAGATTTCTATGTCGATGATTTCATCTCCGGTGGAAGCTCTGTTGCTGAGGCTATTGAGAAAATGCGACAGACCACTGAGATACTTGCTCGAGGTGACTTCAAGTTACGAAAGTGGTGCACCAGCCACCACGAGGTCTTAAAGGATGTGTCAGATGATGACAAGGAGAAGTATTTGAAGTTCGACGATGGCAGCGATATAACCAAAACTCTTGGTCTTGCATGGGATCCGGCAACAGACGAGCTGCTGTTCTCTTTATCGTCTCTAGATCCCGGCTCCAAGGCCTGCCGACGATCTGTTCTGGCCACCGTTGCTCGTTTCTATGACCCGCTAGGCCTTCTTGGTCCAGTAATCACAAAGGCCAAGGTGTTTCTTCAACAACTCTGCAAGGACAAATTGGATTGGGATGAAAGTTTGCCCTTAGATCGTAACACCTGCTGGATTGAAATGTGCATCAGTTTTCAGAGCGTTCAACGCATATCATTCCCAAGATTTTTGCTTCTTTCAGAAACTGATGTTGAAATTCATGGTTTCTGCGATGCCAGCGAGGAAGCTTACGGAGCTTGCATATATGTGCTGTCTAGGGGCACTTCTCCAGCCAGCAGCCATCTCTTATGTTCCAAATCCCGAGTAGCGCCTCTCAAAACGATATCTGTACCTAAGCTGGAGTTATGTGGCGCCCTGCTACTAGCCAAGCTGATGAATGAAGTTATGAAAATGGATATGTTCAATGGTCCTTTTCACTGCTGGTGTGATTCCTCTGTGGCGCTATCCTGGATCGGTAATGAGCCTTTCAAATTCAACGTCTTCGTGGCAAACCGAGTGGCTTCTATACAGGAATTGACTACTAATATGAAATGGCATCATATTCCGACTACACTGAATCCTGCCGACATTTTGTCCAGGGGGTCTACTCCGGATTTACTGGCGCTTTCTGAGATCTGGTTTCATGGCCCACCATTTTTACTTGGTGGTCGCAAGGATTGGCCTACGCGTCTGCATTATGGCGATCCGAGCCTTGAGTTACGTAAACAGGTGCTGATGGTCAAGTCACCTCACGTTGATGTTACCCTTAGATCCAAGTATGGCAACTCGTTCCCTTCCATGCAGCGCGTGTTCGCATACATTTACAAATTTTCTCACCGCTTGTGGCATCGTGGTCTCGAAATATCTGATGTGCAACGTGGGACATATATACTCTGGCGAGGCGTCCAATTGGCTCATTTATGGGAGGATATAAAGGAGCTTCGTTCAAATAGCATTGTTAAAAATCAAGTTCTATTGCTTCGCTCTTGCCCTTCATAGATGCATGTGGCCTTCTTCGAGTTGGTGGACGCCTCGAAAATTCAACACTTGCGTATGAGGCTCGCCATCCTATAATAGTGCCACGTCGTCACCCACTCACCTTAGCGCTCATCATGCACTTCCATAAGATGAACCTGCATGCAGGACCGCGCGCTCTGTTGGCAAGCATCCGACTACAATACTGGCCTATTGGAGGACTGCGAACGGTCTCAAATGTACTGAAAGGCTGTGTGGAGTGCTTCCGGGCCAGGCCCAAATTTCTGGAACCAATCATGGCTAATCTTCCGAAGGAACGTTTGGAGTGCGTACGGGCCTTTGCTGTTTCTGGCGTCGACTATTGTGGACCTTTCCTTTACAAATCAGAAGTTCGCACCAGGTCTCCCATCAAGTGCTACGTATGCGTGTTCATCTGCTTTACAAGCAAGGCTGTGCACTTAGAGCTTGTCAAGGATCTAACAACTGCGTCGTTTTTAAGTGCTTTGAAAAGATTCATTTCTACACGTGGAAAGCCTAGTCAAATTTGGTCGGACAATGCTACCAACTTTGTAGGAGCAAAAAATGAGTTGGCGGATTTGAAGCGGCTGCTGCTTAGCGATTCTCATATGCAGTCTGTTCATCAAGCTTGCTTGGCTGAGGGAATCGACTGGCAATTTATTCCGCCTCGCTCACCACACTTTGGCGGATTGTGGGAGGCAGCAGTCAAGACGGCCAAACACCATTTCTACCGCTCTGTTGGCCGCCAAACGCTTAGTTTTGATGAGCTTCGCACTTTGGTTTGTCAGATTGCGTCAATCATTAATTCTCGCCCCTTGCTATCCGTGTCAGAGAATCCAGATGATCTTGATGTTTTGACTCCTGCCCACCTACTTTTTGGTGGCCCCTTCCACTACTATCATTGAGCCCGATCTAACCAAGCTTAACTATAACCGCTTGGATGGTTGGCAGCGTGTAACATATCTGCAGCAACTATTCTGGTCCCGATGGCAGAAGGAGTATCTTACCCTTCTGCAACAACGCACCAAATGGCGGTCTCCTGAACGAATGCTAAAGGTCAACGACGTAGTTTTGATAAAGGGGAAATCTACCTCCGCGGTGGCCTTTAAAGGGTGAAAATCTACCTCCCTTCCGTGGGCTTGACCAAGGTGAGGGAGGTCTTACTTGTTGAGGAGGTGGTGGTTGTGGTGGTGTTGTTGAAAAGAAAACCTCGGGTGTCAGGATGGGAAGAGGTTTTAACTGTTGCGGGCCACGCAATGATGAAGTTGAAAGACAGGCTTTCCAACGGGGGAGTATGTTGAGCGCAGCGGCAAACCACTCCAACTAAATAGAGAGTCAGAATCACTCATTTCTAAGCGGCTCCTCTTATCTCTCTAAATTGGACTTGTCAGTCTGAGCCCGCCTCTCAACGCCTACGGTCCGTCGCCAGCGCATAAATTTGTTGTTGTTGATAAGCAAGCTGCGGTGTTCGCAAAGCCCGTAGCCCTTGCATACATTCATAAAGTTAATAAACTGAAATATTGAATTAGTAGGGCTTTCCACAGTAAATGTAGCTTGATCACTGCCCTTATTGATGTATTTGCAAACGTATTTAATGGATTTAATTGAACTACAGAGCTCTACAAAGCTCAAAGGTCCGCAGGAGAACACAATTATAGGGCACTACCCACCTATTGTCAATTATGTTTCCATTAATTTCCATGGTGAAGCCACCATCTTCAGGTGCTCTTCGCCTATATTTAGGGTAACCATCTTTTCCAGTAACAGTTTCATTAAGCAACGATCGCGGAAACTTTTTGGAACAATTACCCTCGTTCATACAGGGCGATTTTAGGTTTAAGCGGCCACATGGTCCATGAATCATATTAGCCTTAACAATCTCATATAGGAGAGGATCCTTTTCAGAATCTGGAATTTCTGCACATATAATTGAATCAATTTGTTGAGGCGTGATCTTAGACTTTAACCAAATCAGTATATGTGGCGAGCCAGTAAAGGTTGAAGGTAAAATTACCATCTGTCCAAACTGTGCTAAATCTACATCATTCCTACCTATAGCATCTTGAAGATGTATGTAGCTTTCTGCTCTCAGCTTTTTTTGATTTAGCCGAATAAAATTAAGCCTTTCTGTTTCTATTTTAGCATACATATCAACCAAAAATTGACTAAAGAGAGCTCTAAAATAGTGCAGGTGATTCCATACATTTTCTCTAAGCATTATTCGGAAACTGTAAAAATCTAACGCTGAGACTGTTTTCTTAACGTTTTTTTTTGAAACGGGGTCAATTTTGGGTATATCTATAGTGTAACCATCTTCTCCATGACAAAACATTAATGGATATTGTAGGGCGTCATAAGATCGGTGAAGTTCACTGATTCTTTTTAACTGATTATTATAACCCTCAATAATAATGTCCCTTTTTTCAAATTGTTGGTCAACTAATACCAAAGCGACCTCATTTGCTTGGGGTGCGTTATAACGACCTCTATGAGCCCTAACAGGCTTTTTATTGGCGTGAATAACCATTTTAAATTGGCTACAATTCTTCGGAACTCTTTTAAGAGCAGTTTTAAAATCCTTAACATATGGATTACTTTCATGCAGCATCAACTGTAGTGATTTAACTAACGCATTTTTAACTCCAGGACTGTTTTTACACCTGAAATCGGCTTCTACATTGTCCTCACCAATAAAATAAATTTGGAGAAACTGAGCTTCTTCTTTAGAAGCTGGCAAAACGCTACCAACTAAGTGGTAAACTTGCCCCTGTACTTTAAATGTGGGCATATAACCTTCATTAATAACTTTTGTCGCACCAAATGAAGTCATTTGAAAACAATTATTATATTTTCTGGTAAGCCCCATAAAATGTGTATGGTCTGGGTGATCACCATTTAAAAGACTTAAAAGAGGATCTGGTAATGTTTTAAGAGATGGAAGCTGGACTTTTCCCTCTTTGCAACACATACCTTTTGACTCTTCCTTCCATTTTAAGGCGCCACAAAATGAGCATCTCTTATTCATTATTCCAATATCAACTGATTTATCAGAATTGTATGCCAGATTTAAATCGTATAAAAAAGCGGAATTATGTTTTACTTTCCACGAATGTGCACTCTTTGTATTCTTTTGTTGTGTTTTTTTTTGCAGTTTGAATTTCCTCACGATGCCTAACATGATAGTTCTTATTTTCAATCTTTTTCTGTTTTTTTCGAGAAAAATCAGTAAGTTCACCTCTTCTTTGAATGTTCTTTTTTTTCATAGAAGGAACTTCTAATATATTTTGAGTGGGAGAGCTTCTATCATTAAAGGTTTCAATAGGCTTGTAGACATCATAATGTCCACCAGATAAGCTTCCACTGAAACGAAATCTTTTATGGTACTGCCCTCTGTACCAGCAACTGCAATGAGCGTTTGATTAAAGTAAACTTCAATATAAATAGGGTACAATTTAGCAGCAGCTTTTAGTTCAGCATACGAACCAAACGTGTGCGGTTTAATCATGTCATTTTCATAATCCACAGGATTGGCATAATTATCTCCGTTAAAATTACATGTGTCATCAACAAATGAACTAAATTGGGAAACTATTAATCGAACTATTGATTTTCGAATGACTTGAGCATAACTTTCATTGTCAAACAAAACGTAGGACACAGCCCGGAATAAGCAAGCTCCATCACCTGTTATAGGTATAACAGAGTGAGGTACCGGAGCACCATCTATATTTAAATACTCTACTTCCATTGTAAGCAGTAAATCTAGAAAAAAATCAATATTTCAAAATGCTATTAAAATATACTTGTAATTTAAATAGTTATTTATCTAACTTTTAAATATATAAGTTTTTGCAATAGTAATATTGATGTTTATATATTGCAAAATATATTGCAAAATAATTTCACACTGCACAACAAAGATTTGCAGATATAAAGATATTAATTCAGTTAGTTAAGACTAAAAAGTTACATGCGTATCATATGTTATTTAAATAATTTTCATGCAAAACTAAATGTAACTTAATTTTGAAATGTTAATAAATTTCAAGTTTTTAAGAAGTCTGCCGATTACAGATAGATTGTTTAAGGCAACAGTTTTGAAAATTATATTTTTCAAAATGTATAACACTTAAATTACAATCTAACAAACAAAAGTTTGTAATTTTGACCATTAAAGCTATAGAAGCAGCTATAGAGTTATTTTCTAAACTCAAGGTCTAACCGGTTTAATATAACTTTTTGTTGTTTAGCTTTTGTAATAGGTTTAATAGACGTTACTCAAATTATTTTGAGATTACAGAGTGTGTTATACAAACTTCGCCTTGGCAACCAAAAAGCTAACCAAATTAAAGCTATTTAGATTTTAAAATATTAGGAAATTTTAAGTTTAAAAATAATCTGCCGATTACAGATAGAATGCTTAAAGCAACAGTTTTGAAAATTATTTTTAATTACATTTAATTTGGTTGCTCTTGCTCTTACGGTTTGGGCTGTGGCCGTATCCCCTGAAATATCGGTCTTTCATTTTATAATCTTTATTTAGGGATAAATGAAAGTGAAAAGTCGTGAGCTTGTTTTTTAACTCGGGGTTTTAATTTGGTAAGGGCAACGTAGTGAGGATCTCCGCCCTATAAAGTATATATGTTTTGATAGATATAGTTTATAGTTGGTTGTTTCGTTCATTAAAGTATATATTTTCACTTTTCTCATTTAATCCGCTTTGCTCTATAACTGAATCAAACCATATTGAAGTTAGAATTGTTTTTGTTTTTTGGTAATCATCACGAATTTAAGATTATATCTATAGTTTATAACTGTTGAAACATACTTTGGTGTAGTTGAATTGGGTTTTATTATTTTCTTCTTTAGATATTTTTTTTTTTATCTTAATTTTATGTATCCAAGTAAAAGTCGTGAGCTTGTATACTTTTTATCAGTTACAATGTTATCAATGCAATTTTAATTTGCGCAGAAATATGTATACTGGTTTGTAAATTGGAATTTGTTGTTTTCAATTTTCTTGTTTTGAATGAAACGAAAACCTTTGTACACACAGTAAAAGAGTGGCATCCAATACAAAAACAGCAAAGTAACGTATTATTTTCAGATTCCACATTTGATCGATAAACGGGTATAATAAATCATTTTATTTGTATTTAAGCACATTATCTACTTTCGAATAGAAACATACTTATATACATATAAGCAAATCAAAACATATCCAAATATACATATGTACATACGTATTTGGTCAAAAGTTCGAATCTTAAGATTAATATTTAACTTGGAAACATTTTGGCTTTGCTTACAGAATTTGTAGTAATTTTCTATTTTCTTCCATGGTGGAAATTAAATAAGGCTCTTACTTCTGCTACAAAATAAAAAATAAAACCTAAGCATTTGATCCACAGGACTGACTATTGATCGAAAATCATATTGATCGGAGCAGCAGTTTAAGTTTTTAAAATCCAAAACAAATTTAACTTAAATTGCCTCTTTCCCCTCCCCTTTCCCTGCAGCACTACCCCTCCCCCTCATCAGTTTTCTTGGCTGTTGCTCTCTCGGCCGTCGCTCTCTTGGCATCCGCTCTCTGGGTTTCGGTCTCTCGACAGGCTCTAAATAAATTCGTTAAAAATACTTAAAAAAATGTTAAAAACTTGAAAAATTAAACTTAAGCATTTGGGCCATAGAATAACTATTGAGCGAAAAATCATCTTGATCGGAGCAGCGGTTTAGATTTTTTAAATCGAAAAGTTAATTTTAAATGTAGCCCCCAAATTATGGGGGATATCGAAATTTCTTTTAGATTTCTAATTAGGCCTTTTCAAAACATAAAATTCGGAAAAAACCAAATATGGAAATTCCAACCACTTTAGAAGTTAAGCTTAAATACATCAACTTTTTT